AGAGCCAACAACTGACTGACACGAATGTTAACTAGCATGCAAAAAAAAAATCGATAGCTGCATTCGTCACAAGTGGGAAAAATTTAAATCTGCATGGCACTTAACTCCAATTAGCTGATTCGCTTGCTTAAATTCAACGTTGATTCTGATTCTGCAGAACTGGGTTGGGTGTGAAAAAGTATTTGTTGTTAACATTCTTTTTTCATTCGGTTTTTTCAGTTACGAGTCCTTTTTTAAAGCTGATCGTTTTGTGTTCATTTTGTTTAGTTCTTTTTTCGTAACAGATTTAATGTTTAGTATAGAGCTTAGAAAAAATTCGCAGTGTGAGATAGGCAAGAAGTAAAGCATGTAGCAACATCAGCACGGCAAAGGACAGTCCTTTAAAGGCAAGGAAGGGCAAACATATTTTAAGTCAAGTGATAGCGATAGCTGTATGAGTCGTACGATTTTTGAATCAAGAACGGGCAACGCCGGGCCATCCTGCTAGTATATATATATATATATATATATATATATATATATATATATATATATATATATATATATATAAATATAAACGTAAAGAGCCAGAATCTATCTATCTATCAAGGTTTAGCCTACCGGGTCATCAGGATATTCTGTATTCTAATTTTGCTCTAATTAGTGTATTGAGCACTTTTCCATTTTAACTTAGGTTACTCTGTCGATGTTTTATTTCTTTTAGTTTGACAATGTGCTGCTGGGTGATTTTTTTCAAGCAATACGGATGTTTGCAGTCTTTTTTTTATTGAGTTTTTTTGTAATACTTTTTATTTGCAAATTGTATTATCTATTTTTTACACCGCTCGAATTATAGTTTTAAAATAATATATATATATATATATATATATATATATATGTGGTGGGGAGGTTGTATAGTGCGATGGGCAATTTGTCCCCATTTTATACTTTTCCTTTCGCGGATTGTTTCTTTTTGATTTTGTCGACTGCACAATATAGTAGGGTCTGTTAGGCACCGTCTGTCTGAAAAAGAGCACGATGGCACAATTCACTCCCACTGAAATTTGGAAACGGTATGCAGTACTGTTTGGCATTTGCGCCTGAAGCTCCAATATGAACATTTCAGAGTGTTCGGGTGTCAATCTGAGCACATTGCAGCGTATTCGGTAAGTGGTGGGTGAATTTGATGGTGATTACGAAAGTGTTTGGTGTGAACACTAATGATAATGACATTATGCCTCCATTGATCTGCCAACAGCCGCCTCAGACTCAACACGGAGGCCTACACCAAGTGCCTTGAGGAAGTAGTGCTGCCCTAGATCAAGAGGGTATCTGCTGGAAGACCTTGGCAAAAAGACATAGGGTCAGACAATTTCTGCGACCATATCACCCCTTACATCTGGCCACCTAACTCCAAAGACTGCAGCACCCTTGATTATTATTTGTGGGACGCAGCTGATCGCGAGACCAAAAAAACTCCTTGTAACACCAAAGATGAACTGAAAGCAAGGATAATGGCAGCATCCACCAAGTTAAACAAGGAAAACATTAAGGAGAGTTGCTGGAGATTCCGAAGCCGTCTGGAGGCCGTGATTGAAGCCAAAGTTATTGACTAACTTTACTCTTTAATATTTCAAGATATTCTATGTAATGTAGTAAATATATCTGTTAAAATGAGATGTCAGTGTTATTTACATTTTTGCATAATTTAGATGACCTCGTATATATATATATATATATATATATATATATATATATATATATATATATATATATATATATATATATATTACTGAAATACCTCCCACCTATGCCTTTCAGAAATCTGTACCCATATAACGATAAGACATTAGTGATAATGGTGTCTTCATTTCGCTAATGCCTCACCATTATGTGGGAGTTATTTGTGGGAGTTGTATGTGGGAGGTATGACAAAGGAAATTTAACTACCACACAGGTGCCACATCGGTTTGACAATGACTGCGATAGTCGAAAGTACTTGAATATATATATATATATATATATATATATATATATATATATATATATATATATATATATATATATATATATGTAGGGCTATTCAAAAAGAATAAGCAATATTTCAATAAGGAAAAACAATAGGAAACTCCAGCCTAGTCAAAAGCATTGTACTCACAATCAACTTTTATTTTCTGTCTTACAAGCGTTCAATGTGGCCACCACCTGCAGCATGGGCAACATCAATTCGATAAGAGAATTCCTCTCCAGACGCGTATCTGCATATCACGATCCACCGAGTTGATCGCTGTGGTCATTCGATGTTTAACTTTATCGAGGTTAGTGGGTAGCGGTGGAACATAAAAGCGATCTTTTATGTATCTTCACAAGAAAAAAATCACACATAGTGAGGTCTGGGGGATTTCGCAGGCCAAACACAAAGAGTAAGGTCTTGGTAAGTTGCTGAACGAGGCTTAGGCTGTACGGTTTCAAATGTCGACGTCTTGTTAGCACTTGTCAGATAGTGAATTGAGAGATCGCAAATTCACGACTAACTCGATTTGTGAACTTCCCCTCACACGCAACGTGGATTCTCGCCACTTGTTCCTCCGAAACTCGTAGTCGTCCAGGACTTCCGTTACACAGACACCCACTCTCTTGAAACTGTTTAAACCACTATCTCTTGTTCTTAGGAGAGGGCAGTTTAATGTTGAATTGCTTTCGAAAAGCACGCTGCAGTGTGACAACCGTATTTATTTTCGAGAACTCGTGAACGCAGCACGCCTTTTGCTGAGGACTGGCCAAAAAGACGGAGACAGGTCGCAACTGCAGCGACCCTGTGGCGCAGTCATTCAAAGCTTAGAAAACTCCTCCTTCAGATGGTCATTGACTCATTCCATGACAATGCTTGAGAACTGAAACAATGCGTCATGATATCGTTTCATTCTTTTTTAATATACCTGTATATATCTATAAACATACATACATACATACATATATATATATATATATATATATATATATATATATGCATATATATATATATATATATATATATATATATATATATATATATATATATATATATATATACAAATAGAGATAACTATACTCGTTTCGAAAAGCCCTCGAATTTTTGATTTGTCAATAATCTCTGACGATCCGTTTAGGTGAAACCTAGGTAGGTTTGTTTGGCTCACTAGGTGTATATATATATATATATATGTGTGTGTGTGTGTGTGACCGTATATATGATAGGATAAGGAATAAATAGGAAGTGTTTACAGATCTAACATGTTTCGCTTTTATTACAGCTTTCTCAGAGAATGAATTATGGAAGGAGATAATGAAAGAATATTCTGCTATTTTTTTATTTTTTGTTGTTTGTTTTTTATTAGTTCAAATAAAAAATTAAAAAAATAGCAGAATGTTCTTTCATTATCGCCTTCCATTTTAGGACCAATATTGCCAATATAGCTTCCCAGAATCTGTACGCTACTCTTGAGTGTCTCTGCACATATATTTAAGCAATGCTTGCCAGCGAAACAAACACTCCCACATGTAAATTACATATTGGAGATGCCAAAATCAAATAAGCACAACAATTTAAACTCTTGGAAATTGTTTTAACAGAGGACGGAATATGCGATACTGCTAACCGAAGGCGCATTGTAATAGAGAAAGATGCCTTGCAAAAGCTAAACATGGTATCAAGAAACAGGAAAATTCCATTAGAAACAAAAAGAGAGTACTGAACTTTTAATATAATTACTCCTATATGGCAGTGAATGTTGCACAATCTTCTCACAGATGAAAAAGAGACACAGAAATGTGGTTCTACAGAAGGACACTGAAGATAACATGGACCGAACATGTGAGTAACGCCGAAGCTTTAGAACAAATGGAAGCGAAAAGGTCACTTATACTTAACTTATACTCTTAAAAAGAGACAGTTGAAATTTCTAGAGCATTGATGAGGAAAGAGGGCTTGGAAAATTTGATACTCATAAGACAAATTGGAGGCAAGATGGACAGAAAAAAACAGCGTATAACCAAGAAAGCGTGCTACCAAGGATGGCGAAACAAAGTTTAGGAAAAAGACAAAATTTATTAAGAGGGACAAAGGACAGGAAATTGTGAAGAGCCATGATCGCCAACTTCCTGATTTGACACATCACGTAGAAGAAGATTAAGTCATAATGACCAAAACGGCTGAAAATAAATGAACATTGGAGAGTTTATGAGGAATGTTCATCTTGATGTGCAAAAACGTATTCAAAAATTAGAAAAATACAGTAAAACCAGACCGTTTCGATTGAATTGAATACAACTTTTTAAAATCAATTCTTACTGCACAAATATACCCTATAACATCAATCATTTAAGTGAAAAATTTTATTTGTATTAATCATATATATATATATGATGTCACATCTTGCGGTGGTAAACTCGACTTGACATGCGCACTCACGTTTACTTGGGCCGATAATGAGAAGAGTCGCCACTTGATCTTTTCTATTGACTGGCCTCATTCAGACAATCATAGTGTTTGTCTAAACAAATACTGCGGTTAACTTGAAGAATACACAGAACTGGGTGAGCTAATGGGAAAGAACAAATTAGAAGTGCTTTCCTTTCGTTTTTCTATTCGGGTCAGTGTATACCTCATTGGTTGTATATTTTTACTTTCTTTGATTGCTTTTCCCTAACGTAGTCTTCATATCGTGAAACTAACCCTTCTTTTTTGACTTTTACGTTGTCCTTCTTTTTCCATAGAATTATTTCTTTCCTTCTTTACTTTCTTTTTCCCCCTTTAAACCTCTTTTCTTTTACGCTTTTGTGTTATTTTTCATTCGTTTTTTTTTATCTTTCTTGTTTGCCATTTTGCTTTCTTCCATCTTTAATTCCGCCTTTCTTCTACACTTCACTATATATTTCTTTCTTTCTTTTCTGTCCTTCCCCCGTCCTTTTTTATTTCTTTCTTTATCACCTTTTCTCCTCCGATCAAGTCCATTATTAGCATTTTCTTTCTTTCTTTCTTTCTTTCTTTCTTTCTTTCTTTCTTTCTTTCTTTTCTGTCCTCCTCCCGTCCTTTTTTTAGTTCTTTTTTATCACATTTTCACCTCCGATCAAGTTCATTATTATCTTTCTTTCTTTCTTTCTTTCTTTCTTTCTTTCTTTCTTTCCAATTATGTTTTTGTCAGCTTTTTTCCTCCGATCAAGTTCATTATTATCTTTCTTTCTTTCTTTCTTTCTTTCTTTCTTTCTTTTCTGTCCTCCTCCTGTCCTTTTTTAGTTCTTTTTTTTATCACATTTTCTCCCTGAGAAAAGTTCATTATTATCTTTCTTTCTTTCTTTCTTTCTTTCTTTCTTTCTTTCTTTCTTTCTTTCTTTCTTTCTTTCTACACTTTTCTCTTTCTGTTTTCTCTCAATGATTTTTTTAATCATTTCACCCCAAGTAAGCCAATAAAGCCACAAAAGCGCAAGTGGTTCCTGGTGTTGAATGTTGACAGTAGTGAATGATCTCAGCTCGGTTTTTTTTTCTTGCTCGGCGATCTCTAATCGTTTCGTTTCGGCAGTGAAAGACTTCAACGCAGAGAATTTTAACTTAACTCTTTTTATTAATCATGTCAAGACCTACATTATGTAACTATCTACCGGGGAGCCTTTTCGGACACGAAAGAGAACACGTTTACATCTCTTGACGGGTAATAAATAACTTACAGAAAAACCTCTCTCTATCTATCATTCCCACGTTAGCTCAGCCAATCAAAATCGACTTCCTTATTATGTCTTACATCTCGCCTCGAAGGTTAGCCACAGGAAGTCGGAGCTAAGATACACTTCCATCTAAAAGTAATAGTCTGCTAAACAATTATTTAACACACCTTAGCTAATCATTAAAAAAAAAATTCATTTATTAATTTTATTTCAACTATATTACTCTAAAATATCCTCTACTCGTTCGTGTGTGTAAGGTGTGCTACTTACATTTTTTCTTCATTGGACGTCGGTCACGTGACCTTTTCGATATGCCCATATAACATTCCTGAAAAACAGTGAACATAAACAATCAAAATCGACTTCCTTATTATGTCGTACATCTCACACCAAAGGTCAACCTCCGGAAGTCGGAACTGAGATACACTTCCATCTAAAATTAATAGTCAGCTAAACAATTATTTAACACATGGATGTTATGAGAGAATATATATATATATATATATATATATATATATATATATATATATATATATATATAAAACTATTAAGGAGAGAGAACAATAAAATAACAAGAATTAAGACAGAAGATAACTATTGACATTGCATTTACTTTTTTTGAAGATCAAAGTTGACTGGAATGTAAGAAGTCGGAAGAGGGTCCCACAAGCAAGAAGTGCGGGAGAAGAAAATATTAAACTAGAACTTACGGTTGCGTCTAGCCAATTCAACTCTAAATTGATGAGACCTTGCCGCCAATCTAGTACTAGGCTTAAATTCATAAAGTCTAAATATCATAAAAGAAAGTTCATCAGAACAATTATTATGGAAGTATTGATAGAAAAGGCACAGGTAGGGAACATTAAGGCGGTGGGAAATTGACTGAAGTCGACATGACCATGAGAGGACCAAAAACAGTTCAGATTCTTCTTTGGAACATCAGGAATCTCTCTATATATAGCAAGATCATCAGACCAGATGTGGCAGCAATTTTCAAAGCCACGCTTTTTTATACTTCAATATCTTTCCTCTGTTTTCTATTTCTAAATTTTTTTTATTTTCCCGCTCTTCCACGGCAAGTCTCGTTGATCATTACAATCAATTATTGAGTTCGATCTTTACTGTGCGCCTCATACAAAAATCGACATTGTATAACCCGGCAAGGTTTGAGGTGTCTCTGTGTGAGGTAATGGTTAACAAGGCTACTCCAGTTGAACCTTACTACAGTGGAGTGAGTTCGATCCTCACTGGGTGACCCATGCAAACACTCGAGGTTAAATAACCCAACAAGGGTTGATATCGTAAAATCAAGCAATCAAACAAGGAGTAATGAATAAAGAGGCGTCTGGTTGACAATTACTACTGAGTAGCGTAGTGAATTTTATTTTCATTGGCTGCCCCCATAAAATGTTTGACGTTAAATAACCCAAGAAGCATACACTCAAGAAAACCAAACAAAGAGTGATGGTTAAAGAGCTTAGTGTGGTTGACCATTACTAGTGTGTATCGACGTCTATCCTCACTGAGTACCCAATAAAAAATTCAACATTAAATGATTCAAGAAGTTCTGGTGTTAAATCAACTAACAAACCCAAAGGTAATGTTTAATGAATCTAGTCTTGACTATCACTACTGCGGAGTGAGTTCAATCCTTACTGGGTACTCCATAAAAAATCGAGATTATATAACAGGTGTTGATATGTCGTAATATCAACCAACTAATATGTTGTTCATTGTTTTTTTTTCCATTTATATCCAACTAGCAGTAGAGCCCGGCGTTGCCCGGGGATGTAACAGTAAGAGATAGATCAAATATCGACCATCATAAAGACTGAAAAATAAAATTGACAAAGATTATTGTTTAAGGTTGACGGACACACATGTCTTAATTATTTTTTTTTTTTTTTTTTTTTTTTTTTTTACGAATTGGTCAAACCCAAACTCAAACAAAAACATTGTTTTCAATCATTATGAGTCTACCGAATGAATAGAATTTTATTATAAACAATTGCTTTGTAAATGGAATTTTTAAAGCATTCTGAATGTAAAAATAAAGAAAAAAAGTGTGCAAGACAATAGGAAACACTACTGCCAAAAAAAAAGTGAAGTTTTTTTTGAAATCGGTTGAAAAATGAGGAAATCCTATCCCATATATAAACGAACACACACACACACACACACACACACACACACACACACACACACACACAATCTGGGTTTTAAGTGTAACTCGATATGAGTTGTCCCTCTTTCATTCTCGTGATGCCACATAATCGTGTTTTCAAACTGATTTCGTGCAAAAACAATTGTGTTTTTCCAATTTTTGGCGCTGTCAGAACCACCGCAAGGTAATTTTACGTAGTCCTGTGAAGTTTTGTTGAAATCGGTTGGAAAATGTAAGAAATCCGATCCAATATATAAACGAACAGATACACACACAACCTGGGTTTTATAATAAGTATGATTACAATTTTTCCTTTTTAATTTTCTTACGTTCCTTCACCCAACTTATTGACAATCGTAAAGCTGTTGGGTTTGGTTTGGTTTGTTTTATGGTATATCAACCTCAATGGGTTACTTAATGTCGACAAAATTTTTATTGCTGGTAATAATTTTTTTCGAAAACGTATTTCTGGTAATATTTTTCTTCAAAAATTTATTTCTGGTAATATTTTTTTCAAAAAATGTACAGCTAGTATTTTTTTTTCCAAAATGTATCGCTGGTAATAATGTATTGCTGGTAATAATATTTCCCTTGAAATATTTATTACTGATAATATTTTTTACAAATTATTTATGGTATTAAAACCTATTTTTACAATTTCAAAGTGTTTTGATCCCCAGTTTAGGGGGTTAACTATCTTACCCATAGCTAGGACCCTAACAGGTGCTACCATCCCGGGTCAGGGGGGACGTGGGAACACCACGCTCCTCAAAACCCCCTGATCAGAGGCCTTGCTGTTGGATGTAGTTTATCGTCTTACCTAGGACGCGGATGTAGTTAATCTTCTTACCCAGGATGCGTATGTAGTTTATCGTCTTACCCAGGACGTGGATGTAGTTTATCGTCATACCAAGAATGCGGATGTAGTTTATCGTCTTACCTAGGACGCGGATGTAGTTAATCTTCTTACCTAGCACGCGGATGTAGTTTATCGTCATACCCAGGACGCGGATGTAGTTTATAGTCATACCCAGGACGCGAATGTAGTTTATCGTCATACCCAGGACTAGGACGTAGTTTATCGTCTCACCCAGGACGCGGATGTAGTTTATCGTCATACCCAGGACGCGGATGTAGTTTATCGTCATACCCAGGACGAGGACGTAGTTTATCGTCTTACCTTTGATGCGGATGTAGTTTATCATTATACCCAGGGCGCGGATGTAGTTTATCTTCTTACCCAGGACGCGGATATAGTTTATCGTCTTCCCTAGGACGCAGAAAGCTTTTGAGTCCCATCATGATATTCAATGACACCATACAGCAAGTATCACGCCCTTTATTTGTAACCACGCTCATTTGTGTTCAACCGAAAATTCATGCAACAGTTGATATTTAAGTAATTCACTTAACGAGAGAGTGGACATTTAAATAATTGATTATTTACACTATTTATATTCGGGCTATTATCCTCATCTTTACTGGACTGACTAGATTTGGGTGCGAATATCGATTTCAAAATCGTTTGGGTGTGAAACTAGTAACTCCACCCCTTACTTACTACCAAATAAAAAACAAACAAAAACATCTACACCGAGCGTTGTGCAAACAGTAAAATTAGCATCAACCAGCCTACTGAATGAATGTCATATTAAAGAAAATGTGTTTCTGACAAGAAACGAATCCGTATTCCTTTTAGCCTGGATAACCTCTTTCAAGCTGGGAATATTTTACAATTTAACTACGAGAAGCAATCACAGCAAAACAAGGCTCAATTACCCAGTCAATTTTATATGGTCTAGATTTATTTAACTCAAATTAAATTTTAAGCAGTTAATAGTATGATTTAAATTCAATAATATTTCTCAGGCTTCCTGTACCCACTAAATATAATGTTTATAGTAATAAGAAGTGTAAATATATATAATATATATATATATATATATATATATATATATATATATATATATATATATATATATATATATATAAAATGTAAAACGGTCTCATATATTTAGAGCTGAACTGGCTAGATGCAGCCGTAACTTTTATGCTAACAGTTTTTTTCTATCGCACTTCTCGCTTGTGGAACTCTCTTCAGGCTTTTTGCTTTCTAATCAAATTTAATCTTCAAAAATTTAAATGCAATGTAAATCGTTATCTACTATCTTCTTGATTCCTTTTCTTTTAATCTTCTTTGTCCTTAATATTTTTCTCATATTCTCTCATAATCAGTAACTCCCCCCTTGCGTCTTAGGGGCTTTACTGCCTTGCTTTGAGTGAAGTTATTTAAAGAAATATGCAGATTATTCGAGTCAAATGCCTTACTTTGAGCAGCCTGTTTATACAGCAATATTCATGTTCTCCTGGAACTTTGTTCGTGGACGTTAAATCATGGCCGCCTGTTTGTATAATCTTTAGGATTAAAAATTATTTCTATTTTAAGTATTGTCCTTTCCTTATTTTCCCGTTATTCGACGTTTTAAGATTACTGACATATTTTCTCTCCTGATTCTTATTTTATTTTAATGAAATTAATTTTGTTTTAAA